ACGCTGCATGAGGTCACCAGCCGCAACATGGAGAACGCCAAAGCTCTGGCCGACAGCGGTGGCATCGAGAAGCTGGTGGACATCAGCAAAGGACGAGGGAAAGGGTAAAAAGAAAGGCTGCTTCCTTCATGAACTTCTAATTAAAGACAGCTGAAGGGCAGGAAGTGCAGCAGTCAATCAATATAATATATATTTGCTTGATTTAATATTTGCTTCTTTTTGTATTGGCTAAAACGGAAAGTAAAATAAGGTTCTTCATATGTTATGGTGTTGCAGGTACTCAATGAAAGTAGTAAAGGCTGCTGCTCAGGTGTTAAATACACTGTGGCAATACAGAGAGCTGAGGAGTCTCTACAAACAGGTGGGTGGAATATATAACAAAGTTACCCTTTACCTTTAAAACATTTCAGATACAAGCTTGATCTTCCCAGTGAATTTGACTTGTTGTGATGTGTCACATGCAAACAGGACGGATGGAACTACACTCACTTTGTCACCCCAGTGTCCACCCTGGAGAGAGACCGCTACCGTTCCCAGCCCACCCTGCCCACCAGCCCTCTGCAGATGTCCCCTGTCATCCAGTCAGGTATGAAACAGGAGATAATTCCCCATATTCAACCCAACTTTAAGGTAAACATTTCCTGTTTTGTGTTCACCACCAGGTGGCAGTGCAACATCCTCGCCGGCCATGCTCGGGATAAGAAGACACAGCTCAAACTACCAGAGGGCGCAGTCATCTATGCAACTCGACACGTATTACGGAGACAGTTTACACAAACGGCAGTACACAGGTTGGTATTTTGGCGTTCCTCAGGGCTGTGTACCTAAGCTCCTAATGCAGTAGTTTCCAAACGGTTTCCCCAGGGGGTAAAACTGGCAAGTTTAAGCTACAAAATTCACTAAGCAATAATAAACCAATATTTTTTTCATAAAATAGGATATTAAAGACCAAAAACATAATAAAGGGCTTTGAACTGTTAGCTTATTAATGGAAAAAGACCATTATTAAATGGTTTTTGTTTTTTGGTCAAATTTGTACCAATCTTGACTTGTGGTTGAGGCTGAACAAAATACACTGCTTAAAAAAATAAAGGAAACGCTCAAATAACATCCTAGATCTGAATGAATGAAATAAATATGAAAATAATTTCCACCTGTTGTCTATTCCATTTGCACAGGTGATATTGATTGTCAATCAGTGTTGCTTTCTAAGTGGACAGTTTGATTTCACAGAAGTTTGATTTACTTGGAGTTATATTGTGTTGTTTGAGTTTTCCCTTTATTTTTTGAGCAGTGTAATTTCAAGGGCCACAAATGGTCCCTGTGCCACACTCTGGACACACCTGCCCTACTGTTTTAATACTAATTTGAAATGTCTTTTTGCAGGGTCAGAGAAGAAAACTCCTTATTTCATTGGGACATATTCCTCCCAGTCAGGAGAGGATATAAGAAGATCACAGGTGAGAAACATTTACTGGCAAGTTTCTCCTGTTTTAAATTCACTGAAAAGGATGATTTCTTTAAGGAGTCTTCATTTTAGTTATATTTATTTTTATATGATGCTCCAGTCATACAGGTGAAAACCCTCAAAAGAAACAGAAACATCTAAATTACATTGTGAACTCATCAGGACAAATACACTGCGAAAATCCAAAATAAATTTCCACCGATTTAAAGAAGTTAATCCTACAGTATAATAGATATTAAGGAATTTATAGTAAAATTAAACAAATAAATTAGCATTTTCTATCAACATTTGTTCTACTTTAACTAATAAACACCAAGTGCATATAAATATATATACATTTCTTTTTTTTTCCATTCAAACAATCAAACAGTTAAAGTCCATGTAAAACAGTATCAGGAGCTTACCGGCTGTCCTTCAGTTTTTTTTCTTTTAAAAATTTGCACAGTTTGCACCTTGCATGCAATCAGCACTGTTTGTCACACAGGCTGTGCCACTTTCTCAAACAAGACTGAGAGCTCAGCCACACCTAAAATACACTCTTTGATTGCCAGGAGATTGACTCCACCTGGTTCTAATCTCCAGCAGGCAGAGCACAAAGAAGCAGCAAAAGGGGAGTGGCTTCTTGGCAGTTCAGCAGAACATTTACTTTAGTTATCAAGTACATTTGGTATCAGGTGGAATTTAGCCTCAAAGTGAGCAAATCAGTTCCTTCAAATCGAACTTTTATGGATTTTGAAGAATCTTTCAGCCTGGTGTGGAAACAGTTATTTCAATAAAGTGTTTCTCTCATAGCTCCCAGAGCCATTCTACGACGAACCCGACAGGAAGAACTACAACAGCTACAGAATGTACCTGTCGTCACCTCAAGGCTACGGCGAGGAGCGCTACGAGGACGAAGCGGTCCACCTGCCGTCCTCCCCCGACGGCTATGCCACCCAGTCGCTCCGATTCAAAGCCAACACCAACTACGTGGACTTCTACTCCACCACGCGGAGGCCTTCCAACAGGGCGAACAAGTTCACCGGGTCCCCCGACTCCTGGGTGTAGGCACAAACCAAACTCACACGCAGTGTGCGTCCAGCTTTACCGTGCGTTTCCGTGAGTCTTTGTGCGTGGGGAGTGCACTGTACCGTTTGTTTTGCTGAGAAGTTGCGGATGCATGTGAATCTGTGTTGAAAATGGGCTGAGAGAACAGGATGGAATCGCTGCCGGTTTCATGAAGTCAGAAAGTAAGTAGGAAAATTCAGTATGTTATCAGTTTAAACTGAAGGAGTTTGGTTTAGTTTGATTGTTTGAGCCAATCAGACACGCATGAGGGGAAAAACGTCTCAAAACTTCAAATGAACGCATCGTTCCTGACACGTTTTCAGCCATACTTCTGCGAAAAAGCATTTTCTTCCCTAAAAATGTGTTTTGTTTTACAATTATAGATAAGTTGGATTCATACCGACTTTCTTTATGAGAAAAATCAACATATAAAAAAAGGCTTTTTTCATATAACAGATGAGTTAATTGAGACCTTCTAACAGCTACATTTATTTTCTATCCTCCTGTAATAGTTAGCTGCACTGCAGTTTTAACCCTCTTTTAATTTAGATTGAGTTTGCTGCGCTAGGGATGCTGCTTACCTTTCCTGAAATCAGCAATAATACACAATCAATGCAAACTCATTTATGAGCTTCACAAAAAGAAAAGTGTTGCATAAAAAGTAGGAGGCTCTTCTTGTGCTGTGTGTATATTTGGTTCTTTTGGAATTAAATACTTGGAATAAATTTGAAATGGTTAAACGGCATTTATCAAATTTGTAATTGTATGACAAATTTTACTCCAAAACAAAATTTAAAACCTAAATGCAGCCTTCTAGATTCCCTAGGTATCAGAGTTTGTGGGGGAAATCTCTGAAAATCTCTTTTTTGTTTCTATGTTGCAAGAATTTTAAGAGCCTTATGTTTGTCTATTTGTCACAAGGTGCATTTGGTAAGATAAAGGACATGAAAAAAGAACAAAGCAGCCCTGACGTCACTGTTTACTGGAGTGTTTGTTCATGTTAACGGACTCATTTTCCTCCGCAGTCAAAATGTGAAGTGTGTTGGCTTTATAACATAGATATCGTCTGCCACCGTTTCACGGACACGAGAGAGAACGAGGTTGTTGCAGCCGGGAATTCTGGGAAAAGCTGAGATTTATCCAAACGAGAACAAAAGAGGCCCGGACAAAAAAAAAACAGGTTTGGAGACACCCATCATCACTCTGGGAAACCTTTAAAGACTGAAACTCATCACTTCATGTTGGCCACAAGTGCAGTAACTATATCATAAAGTATGTGAAATATGTGCAAAAAAAAAGTGAAAATCTATTTGTACAGATACACTTAAATAACTGTCCTGTTACATTGTTGTATTCAATATGTAGAAATTTCTATGTGATTGTGAGGATAAGATTTTTCTATTATTTATTGTTTACTTTGTATCGATTTAATCGTGATCTGACCAAAATACACCATCTGTCTGTTTTGTCCAGAAACGATGACAGTAATGTGTAACGTTAAAGAGGGAAAATATATGTATAGGGATTAAAGAATATATCACAACAGTCCACTGGATTTTCAGTCTTTCTTGACAATAATTATGTTCCCAAAGTTGAAATGTGATTCCAAGTCATTCTAATGTGTTGTTGTTTTTCCTCTGATATTGAAGCAGCCGAAGGCCGACTCTGTTCTAAAGGTCTTTTATTCCTTAAACGTCTCCATAAATTCAGTTCAGCTGCAAATGGGCAGAGCTTTTTAGATGATGTAGCTGCAGATTCATCCTTTGCTATAAATAATCAAACAGGAGTAAGATTACAGTGAAAGTACCCTGAAAGTCACTTGTTAGATGAAGATGAAAATACCTCAAGATATGTGAATGAAATGGTAGAAGACTGAAAGATGGTGTGGTGTACAGGTTAAGTCAGCAGTCAGCAAATATGAAGGAGAAGAGTTAAAATCCTGGAGAAAACGGATGTTGTCACAGACTGGTTGGGCACACTTGATAGAGACTGTGCTTTGGTCTAAGACCTGCAAGACCTGCTTGAGGCATGGTTGATATTTGTAGTAGTTTGAGCAGCAGAGTTTGCAAGACCTTGGTTGGCTCAGTGGATTTAGACTGGGTTTCGGTCCCGGTGGTTGTTAGTTCAAGACCTGCTTCAGTTTTCCTTTAAAGTTTAACAAGGAAAACTGACTTTGTGATATGTGTAGGAGTTCGAAAGACAACTTTGGCAGGTGCTCAGTTGGCTCAGTGGAAAGGGACTGGGTTTCGGTTCCTGTGGTTGTTAGTTCAAGACCTGCTTTGGTTTTCCTTTAAAGTTTAACAAGAAAAACTGATTTTGTGATATTTGTAGGAGTTCGAAAGACAACTTTGGCAGGTGCTTGGTTGGCTCAGTGGATAGAGACTGGGTTTCGGTTCCTGTGGTTGTTAGTTCAAGACCCGCTACAGTTTTCCTTTAAATTTTAACAAGGAAAACTGACTGTGATATTTGTAGGAGTTCGAATGGCAAGTTTGGCAGGTGATCGGTTGGCTCAAAGGAAAGGGACTGGGTTTTGGTTCCGATGAGTCTGAGTTCAAGACCTGCTGGCGGAGTGGTGTGAAACACAGTCTGTATCCAGAGTGACAGCTAGAGTTTTAAAGTTTAACATGGAAAACTGACTTTGAAGTACTTGTAGAAGTTTGAGCAAATTGAAGGGTCGGTGCTTGGTTGGTGCACTGCATAAAGACATGGCTTGTGGTTCTGATGGGTCTGAGTTCAAGACCTGCTTGCGGAGTGGTGTGAAACACAGTCTGTATCCAGAGTGATAGCTAGAGTTTTAAAGTTTAACATGGAAGACTGACGTTGAGGTACTTGTAGAAGTTCGAGCGATAGAAGGGCGGGTGCCCGGTTGGCACACTGCATACAGACATGGCTTGTGGTTCCGATGGGTCTGAGTTCAAGACCTGCGTGAGGAATGTGTGAAGTACATGTCAGGGAGGTTTTTTTTAAATGGGAAGATTCAATAGGGGGAGAGAAAAGAAAGAGAGAGAGAGAACAAGACTAAAGGAGCTCAATAGGGGGAGAGAGAGAGAGGGGGAGGGAGAGAGAAAAAAATTAAGAGTGGAGAGCGAAACGAGCGTAGCGAGCGAAGCGAGCTACGCTCTATTAAGAGTGTCGCGAGCGAAGCGAGCATAGCTCGCTTCGCTCGCTACGCTCCATTAAGACAGGTGCGAGAGAAGCGAGCGTAGCGGGCGAAGCCCGCTACGCTCGCTTCGCTCTATTAAGAGTGTGGCTCCCCCCCCCCCCCCAAGAGCGTAGCGAGCGAAGCGAGCTACGCTCCCAACTGTCTTAAAGCGAGCGTAGCGAGCGAAGCTCGCTACGCTCGCATTACTTTTAGTACAGCGTACGCTCATTACGTTCGCTCTGTCTTCTCCCCCTCCCCCATTGATCTCGCTCTGTTTTCTCCCTCTCCGTCTCCCCCTCCCCTATTGAGCTCTTGTAGTCCTGTTCTTGTAGTCTTGTTCTCTCTCTCTCTCCCCCTCCCCCTATTGAATCTTCCCATTTAAAAAGCCTCCCTGACATGTGCTTCACACATTCCTCAAGCAGGTCTTGAACTCAGACCCATCAGAACCACAAGCCATGTCTTTATGCAGTGCACCAACCAAGCACCGACCCTTTGATTTGCTCGAACTTCTACAAGTACTTCAAAGTCAGTCTTCCATGTTAAACTTTAAAACTCTAGCTGTCACTCTGGATACAGACTGTGTTTCACACCACAAGCAGGTCTTGAACTAACAACCACCGGGACTGAAACCCAGTATCTTTCCACTGAGCCAACCGAGCACATGCCAAAGCTGTCGTTCAAACTCCTACAAATATCACAAAGTCAGTTTTCCTTGTTAAACTTTTAAGAAAAACTGAATCAGGTCTTGAACTAACAACCACCGGGACTGAAACCCAGTATCTTTCCACTGAGCCAACCGAGCACATGCCAACTCTTCTGCTCAAACTACTACAAATATCAACCGTGCCTCAAGCAGGCCTTGCACATATCTTGAGGTATTTTCATCTTCATCTAACAAGTGACTTTCAGGTACTTTCATTGATCATTCACTGACAGGTTGAACTAATGACTCTCGGTTCAAGAAAACAGGCTCTTCAAAGTTTTAATTATCAGTCAAGATTGCATGTCACATTTCACTAACAACAAAGTTCATCGTGCTTTACATCATAAAGATACAAAACTTTCCCAAGGGCTGGCCAATCTCAAATTGTTCCAGGCTCCACGGTGTCCTGTTTGAAAACGGGATGTAGCTCTCGTCTCATTTTCAAACTGCATCATGCATGAAAACTATGAAGACTTTACATACTTTGACGATGAGGCCAGACTGTTACTGGCAGGTTGGGCTAAAACAGCAAACGAGTACTTTAGTATTCATTTACAACTCTGACATTTCCTGCTCCAGCTCAGTGATGCGCTCACCCTGCGGCTTCTCCTCCTCTGCTGGTTCCGACTTGGTCGAGTCCGAGTGGCCAGCTGGCACGTGCTGGTTATGGTGGGAAAGAGTTTTTGTCTGTGGTGCTGGGTTTACATTCTGGTCAGCAGGAGGAGGATGTTCGGCAGCTGCAGAGACATGAGGCACTGGTTGCTGCTGGCTATCGTGCCGCAGGATCCGCTGCAGCCTGTTCAACGTGCCCAGAACCTGCTGATGCTGTGATGACAGAAGTCTGAACAGTTTGCAAATGATGAGAAACAGGAACCCGGTCCATTGCTGTTTGACTGTAATCAAAACAAAAGTGGTTGTATTCAAAGCAATTAGCTTAAGTATACAATTACATGTGGTCAGTGTGAAGAATTAAACAATTAAAACACATTTTCTTTATGTAAATAGAGCCCCAAAGAAAATCCTTTAAAAATGCAGGTCTGTTTAGAGCAGGAATTGTGTATTTAGCTCTGATCGCTGTGGCACTTTTTGTTACCTTTTGAAAATATATATATTTTTAAAAAGACTGGGAAGAAAATGTATTTGTTTTCTAGTCATTAGTTGTTACAATCAATAAAACAACTTTAGACCCACACTGCACACCCCGACTTGGAAAATAAAGATTTCTTATTTTCAATTACAGAAAACCTAAAATTATTCTGCTACGTTTATATGTGGAGATTCAACACACAGTATCACAGAAAACTAAATCATGTTACTATACCGTATTTCCTACTTAGCAGCTGAAATATCATTGAAATCTGCTTTACTTTGAATTCTAGCCTTTGGGTTTCATGCAGTTTATCACTTTGAACAGTTCAGGACCTGATAAGAAAACAGATGCTTTGATTAACACATAATTAGAATCAAAAAATTAAAGAATCTAGCGCCTTTTACTGCATTATATAATATTAACCCTTTTATATAATCTAAGTTGGCACAGCAGCCATTTTGTGATCCTTGACTTGCAAGCTTAGCGGTAAACGGTGAAAACACGAACCACAGAAACCCGTCATTACTCACCTAAATGTCTTATTATCTCCGAACGCAACAGCAACAACAGGCTGCAGTGCAGAATAAAAACTGCTTTCAATCAGGTAACCAGGCTACTTAGCAGCTAAACCGACCAGCTCTAAATGATTGCATGACATCACCTGTCTGGAGCTGAGCTCTCCAGGCAGGTGAGGTATCAGGAAAACTCAATCCAGGTGTGTGGCAGAACCGGAACAACCTAAAACAAGATTTGACCAGCCGAGGCGCCCTCTAGTGGCTAAGTACGGTACTGACGTTTCTATAAAAACATTCCATATGCACGTTCAGAAAACCTTTTCTAACGAGAGAAAAATAAAGATATTGTCAAAAAAAAGACAGAAAGGCAGAAAGAAAAGAAATATATATATATATTCATACACACCACCGTAAAGGCTTGAAATACATTAAAACTGATTAAGTTACAGCAAAAACATTTATTCCACAGTGAGAGAAGTTTTGGAGTGAATGCTACACAAGCTCCTAATGATCGCTTAGATATGAGCAAGTTGTGTATTTCTGTAGTTCTCTCAGTGAGAAGACAGGAGCTTGATTGTTTTCACCTGCCATAAACCAGAAGGATTGTAGTGTGTCATAACAAGATGTGACCACGAGAGGGCGGTGGAGAGACAGTTTCTGGCGAAAACGGAGTTTATTTCACAAGTGAATCATAAAGAGCGATGGTTTTTACTTTTTTGTGGTGAATATTTAATATTATGTACAAGGTTTTTTTTATACATAAGCGTTTGGAACAACAAAATCAGAGGAAGCTACTTAAAAGCACCATATTTATAACACTAGCAATATGCTAACATCATGGCATCAAGCCACAGGTGCAAAAATTACAGAAATTATTTAATACAGTTTGTTTCTTCCATATTCTGCTACACATCTTTCAAAAAGATTTTTTTTATCAAATGTAAATTTCTTAATTAAAAGCTACTTAAAACTAATAAAGGCCTATGATAAACAGTGTTATTTCGCAGAAAAAAACAAATCACATCTCACATTTGCACATGACGCTGATGAATCGTCTTTTTCTGACGCAGATCAGTGAAGCAGCAAGTTTGTGCTTGA